GCAGTCCCACACAAGGCAGCTGTCTCACACTATAGAAAACATATTCATGAAAAAATTCACATCCGTCACAGTGAGGAGTGACACTTTAAACAGCCCATCACATGCTCAATACATCCAACTCAAACAAACCCCACAGCACAGCTGCGTCCACTGTTCCCCCCAACACCTCCCACACATCAGGCGACCCAGGGTCTCACCTTTAAAGCCGTGAGAGACACATCAGAGCCCTGGGCACTGTCACTGCCTGGAGTAGAACAAGAACAGGACCTGGTCAGATCCCTGTGGAGATGTGGCTAGAGGAGAAACTGTGGGGTTAGTGAGCTCCCCCATGGGCCCCCAACCACCACATCCCAAGGATCTCAGTGATCAGCCTCCTTCATACTTACTTGCAGCCTGAGAGTAGCTCCCGCCTTATCTATCTATGGGAAGAAAATGTCCTGTGAGATATCAGAAAGGAGTCAGGGCCATAAGGTCCTACAGGAATCTCCTAGTCTTGGACCCCAGAGAAGTTTCCAGAAATGTGTGATTGCAGACCCAGGGCAGGATCAGGAAACATGAAGAAAGTAGGTGTGGGTCCTGGACCAATTGCCCTCCTGAGGTCTGTCCTCAGCAGGGACCTTCCCTTGTGACTTGTGACTGCTGGGATCAGGTCCCATCACCATAATCAAGGTGATAAATCTGTCCTTCATTGTAACAGGTGCTATACAAAAGAGTAGGTGCTGGCACACAGGGCCCAGGCTGGGTCAGCCCATGAGTGTGGATGGTGCTTCCCAGTAACCAGACAGGGCACACTTCTACCTGGGGTTTGAAGCCCTCAGTGAGACAAGAAATCCCAGACCCCACTCCTCACCCCTTCCTCACCTGAGCTCTTCCTCCTCCACATCACAGCAGCGACCACAGCTCCAGTGACCACAGCTCCAAGGAGAACCAGGCCAGCAATGATGCCCACGATGAGGATGGTGGACTGGGAAGACGGCTCTGGGAAAAGAGGGGAAGGTGAGGGGTCCCGACCCTGCTAAAGGTCTCTAGAGAGGCTTCGGCTTTCCCTAAGAGACATGACACCCCCATCTCCCTCTTTACCCCATCTCAGGGTGAGGGGCTCGGGCAGACCCTCATGCTGCACATGACAGGTGTATCTCTGCTCCTCTCCAGAAGGCACCACCACAGCCGCCCACTTCTGGAAGGTTCCATCCCCTGTAGGCCTGGTCTCCACGAGCTCTGTGTCCTGAGTTTGTTCCTCTCCATCCCGCTGCCAGGTCAGTGTGATCTCCGCAGGGTAGAAGCCCAGGGCCCAGCACCTCAGGGTGGCCTCATGGTCAGAGACGGGGTGGTGGGTCACATGTGTCTTGG